CGTCCTCCGCCCTCGGGCTGCGGTCGCCTTCGGACCCCAGAGGAAACAGAAACAAGAGACTGTCAGCGAAGCCGAGGAGTGAGGTTGGGCCTCAACTGCGGGGTGGGGGTGGGGAACGGAAATGTCCTGCGATCCCACCAGGGCGGTGGGGAGGGCCTCCAAGCCCGGGTTTTTGGAGACAGTCTCAGCACCAAGTTCCACTCACTTCCCGCATCTAGGCCTGTCGGGTGCGGCCAAGGGACTCCGCCGCTGTATCAACGCTGTGCGGGCGGCCCAGATCCAGCTCTCTGCCCTGTCTGGGCCCCAGGCTCCCCTCGGTAACGCGGGGCACTGAGTCTGGTTACCCTCCAAAGCCTTGTCGGCTCTCAGAGCCGAGCCCTGGGGTTCTAGATTACGTTTCCCTGTTTGGATTCACCCGCCTCCCTACACTCATGCTCACACATACACATGCGTTGACTGCGCGTCAAGGGAAGGTGTGGGGACAGATTCTGGGGACAGAGGTATTCAGAGTCTTCTGCCTCCCACCACCAGAATTGTTGCGAGAGGTGTGGCAATGGGCTGCCCCCAGGCCTTGGACAGACTTCTCCCTCTCCCTTTGCAAGGAAAATAGACAGAGGTTGGCGATTGGGGGTGACAAGAGCAGGGTGTCCCTGCCTCCAGTCCTTGGATTCACATCTGACTCCAGTTCCCCGGCCTTTCCCGCGCGCTCAGGCCACAGCACCCAGCAGAGAGGTCTGGCGCTCTGGCCTCTGGCGGACAGGACAGGATTTGCCTGGGGCCCGAGCGAGGCCTACAGCAGCGTCTACCAGACCGCGGGGCAGGGGGGCAGGCGTAGGGGTCTTTCTGACCCAATGAGTTGCCAAGAGCTGAGGAGGCCCCTCTCCCTGCTGCGTCTGGGATGACCCACATCAGCCCCTCTGCCTCCAGCTGGCTGCTGGGTTTGCCTCCAGCTCTTGGGTCCTCAGCCCAGAACAGCTTCCCAGGCCCTGGGGTCTGGGAAGCTAAACAAACCCTCCTTTCCAAGCCCGAGCTCAGCAGATCCTGTCCCCTGGCCCGCTAGGAGGTGTCCCTCGCTACCTGTCCTTGACCTGCAGGGCCTGGCCCTGGGACCTTCCGCACGGGGTGTCTCTGCTCTCTGGGTGAGGGCCAGGGCACCGGCTATCCTAGATCTCTGGGCCTCTGGCTCTTCCCCCTTCCAACTGATTTGGAGATTTGGAGACAGACACGGCCTGCCAAAGGCACTAGAGATGAATCCAGGCTGCAGTGGTTCCCTCCTAGCCCTGTCCGGAGGACATCTCAGGCCTTGCCCCAGGACGCAGGGCTCTGAGGACGCTCTCGGTTTTCTCTCAGGCTTATTTACCGGAGGGTTAGAGCAGCCCGCGCCAGAGCGCAGAGCTTGGGGTCCGGATCAGCCCCTGGGCCCCAGGGCAGGGTGCTCGCGGCAGGCCCACCCCACTCGGCGAGGTTGACCTCCTTGCCCAGCCCCTCAGCCCGGCCCCCTTCCCCGGGAAGCCTCAGCGAACCTGAGACGCTGGCGGACATCTCGCTGTCGCTCCGGCCCACGGCTTCCTCCTCCATGTCCT